GGATGGAGGGAGGGTGACAGCGGGTGGGGGCTGGGAGAAAGTGCTGCAAGTTTGGTGGGCCCGGCGTGCGCGCGCGAATGGGAACGTGGCGGCTCTCTCGGTACTGCGCCGCCCGGTCGGGCCGGGGGCTGCGGGCGCCTCACCAGCCCTGGAAGGAGGCTGGACCTTGTGCGCAGCAAGCCGGCGGTGGCAACTGCGCGCGGCTGAGCGCGTAGGTGGCCTTGCGCACCCCTTCTCCAACCTCCTGAGGGCTAGGGACGTGGGGTGGGGTCACTGGGTGAGACTTAGTCACTAGGGGCTGCGCCCGGCTTTGCGACCCTTGAGCCCGGGTCAACTTGAACCAGCTTCTTTTGCACGGAGTATTACCCCACTAACACCCCCGGGGTTCTCTTGGTCAGGGAAAGGTCTTTTCCCGTACGCGCCTCTTACTCCATCACAACGGGTGAGCTAGCAGCGTCTGCGCCCGGGCTAGGAGATCCCCTTTCACGAAGTCAGCCCTGCAAAGTCAAGGCGAGCGGGGAAACAGAGGCATCGGAGCACGGCGGGGGGTCTCGGCGGAGCTCTGGGGGCCTTTGACGCTCCAAGGACCTGGGCTGAGCGTGCGGAGTCCCCGCTGCCCTGCAGGGGGCGTGCCTGTCGCCGCCTCCGCCAGGGCTTGGGGTGACGACTCTGTGTGTCAGGGGCACCTGTTGAGGCAGAGGTTCTGGGACCTGCGGAGAGGCGAGCTCCCGCAGCTAGCCGCCTTCTTCCGACCCGGGCAGCTGATGAGCGAGAGCCTTGGGCGACCTGTGGTATCAGCTGCTGGACGGGGGCAGCCTGACTGGACGAGGACCAAGAGTAGAGAAGAGTGTGGGGCCGGGAGTGGGGAGTGGAGCTGGAGTGGCCATTGTGACGTGAAAAGATCTGGGCCTCGGGAAGGAGGGGTCTGGAGCTTCTTACGGAGGTGCAGCGTCAGGACAGAGAAAGCTTGTGTGGAGTAGAATCTAAGATGTTTGTGCAAAGGCAGCTGAGCCCCAGGAATATGGCGGTGGTGGTGGTGATGGGGGTGGGGTGTCGGTGTGGAAGTGCTCTCATATTCCCATCCTGCTCCAGTTCTGTATCTTATTACCCACCCTGGAAAAAGTAAAAATCTTCTGCAAAGGAACTGTATTTCTGACTTCGCTTGAGACCTTGGGGTTTGCTGGTTTTCTCTTCTCCCCCAATTCCCCGACCCCTGTCTGACTGAACTCTCTGGAGCAAGCCTGATTAGGTGGAACATTCCTTTCTGAAATGAGAGTCACTGTCACTAGGACACTGTTTTCAAAGCACTGTGGATGTTTGGACAGAAAGGCTGATGAGGAAAAAGCCTCCTGTGTCAAGACCCCAGAGTGTTGGGATCTGGGTGGACTCTGAGATCAGCGTGGAACTGGCCAAACCAGTAGGGGCCTCAGCCCCCTCTGGGAGTGTCCACACAATGGACTTATCCAAGCTACCCCCTTCTTATATTCTGAGAGGGCCAGCCCTGGTCTCAGGTTAGGTGGGCCTGAAGTGGCAGGGGACAGGCTAGCTGGCCAAATGTTCTGTACTCTATGTGGTATGATGGGAGGAAGGTCTGAGCTGGAAGAGAAGGAAGTGGGGAGAGAGGAGGGAGATTGAAGGGAAGAGAACACAGAGAAATTACTTCCCAGAGCCCTAGAATGGGTCTCATCACTTTTGTCTCTGCTTTAGAATCCTGGCCTTGATCTTGGACCTCTCCCCTCTTTCTTGGAGCACCCTCCCAGATTGGCCAGGAAGGCCACTCAGACTGAGAGCCCGGGGATGGTGTGGAGGGCACTGCTGGAGGCATGTAGCAGTCATTTTGAGAGGTGAAAATTGGAGGTCATTGGGGGCTCCAGTGAACATCCTCTCACCCTGTCCCAGTTCCCATGGGGTTTGACTTGCTGCAGATTAGAAAAAGGCTGTGAATGGGAAGCTAAGTTTAAAGTGTGAAGAAGTATCAGGGAGATTCCTGGGAGCCAGGAAGTGGGGATGCAGGAAGAGAGAGAGTGGAAGTTTCTGGGTATGAGTGGCAGAGCCTTCTCTGGCCACATAGGGGCATAGCCAGCGCGCTCTCTCTCTTTCTCTCTCTTTCTCTCTCTCTCTCTCTCTCTCTCTCTCTCTCTTTCTCTCTCTCTCTCTCTCTCTCTCTCTCTCTCTCTCTCCTTAAGCTTTAGCTCTAGGTGCCTGTCCAGGCATTAGTCCCCGTGCACACACTGCCTTTGTCACAGCCTTGCACTGTATTCCTATCTTCCAAGATATTTCACTGTAGTGGGATTCTCAGTCATCTGCCCTGTCTCCTCATTGAATGTAAGCTGTCATACAGGGACTATACAGGAAGCTTCTTGCATCCCCACATTGATGCACACAGCAAGACTTAGTAAGGACTGCTTAGATGAGTGAAGTTAAGAGTTCTGCTCATCTCTGGGAGCAGTCAATGGTCCTAGCTTCATGTCCCCCTTGTATTTTATTCCCAGCTCCAACCTAACTTACCTAAGGAGATAGCGGCATGCATATTCAGCTTCTCTGGGAGTTGAACCCTTTGTTCAGGTGTGGCTGAGGACAGGCCTTCTTCCTGAAATCTATGGTTAAGCTCTCACTGGGTCTTCTTGCCATTCCCAAACATGTCTCTGTTTAGTTGGGCCAGGACACTGCATGTGAATTTCTAGATTCTTAGAGAATGATGTGGCCGGCCCTGCTGACAGAGAATGAGAAAATTCAGACAGGCGTCATTATCACTCCCTTGGGGAATCAGAGAGCTGAGGAGGGAAAGGGAGGGTCTGCATAGCAGCCCGGGCCAGGAGGCAGCTCGTCTTCACAATGTCTGTGCTATTCGTAGCCAGCCAAGTTGCTTCTGGACCTAGGAGGCCCCTTTTTGGCATCGTGGGCTGTCGGCATGGCAACCATACAGCCAGGATTTCTCAGGGAGGTCCTGATTTTTAATATTCTGTCCTGCTGTCAGCCCATGTGTCACAAATTTTGATGGGAAAAATTGGTTATGGAATCTGTAAAATAAAAGGAGATACAGACCCCATCCCTACATGGCTACTTAGGTGCGGCAGGATTTGCGATTTTTCCATGCTATACTTGATGGGCAAGGGAGTGGATCTGGGCACGTCCACTGAGCCTGCATGGATACATGCTGGCATTGGACGGCAGTGAAGGCAGGAAGCGAAGCAGACACGGCTGGTCTTCAGTCTTCAGGCCTCACATTTGAGAAGAACATTTGTGACTGGTTTGGGACTCAGGTTTTTCATATGTGAATTCATTGGGATGCTAAGATGTTACATGGAATTTCATTTTATAGACATATTTTAAAGAGTATTCATAATGGATATTTTCAGGATCATACTGGTGTACTCATTTGTAACATATCTTATTTGGAACCATGAAAGTTTTATTTATTTATTTATTTTTAAGCCTACAGCACCCAGTATTCCCAGGTGGTCTCCCATCCACGTACTAACCAACCCTGCTTAGCTTCCAAGATCAGGCATGTTCAGAATGGCATGGCCGTAGGCCGGAATCATGAAAGTTTTTAGGCAAGAGTTTTCCTAAACTGGAGTTTCTTATTCTACAGTTGAGATACTACTGAGTAACTATGGACAAAATATTTAACATCTCTGGACCTTGGTTATTCTAAGTATTAAATTTCGGTTAAATGATTTCTAAGATTTGTTGATCCTTAGATTAGCTGATGATAGAAGTGAATTTGATTTCTAGAGGTGAATAAATGGCTTTAAGGGAGTTCTCCTGAAGGGTACTGTGAGGTTTATGGTTTGTGGAGGGACACCCTCCGTCAGGAGAAAGTTGTGCAATGACTCTCGAGGCCTCGCAAGGTTCCTCCCCATTACTTAGCAGAAAAGAACACATATGATGGCTTTCCAGCTTTGTTCTCTGAGAGCAGAGGCTTCAGTCAGATCTGTCTGAGTTTATATTTTATTTATAATGTATGCATTTGGGAACTGGGGGAATATGATTTGCCTAAATGACAGAAAATGATTTTATATTTAATTCGTCTAGGTGCCACATACAAGAAAGAGGGAGGGAGAAACACCAACACCCACAATTCCCTTTGCCAAATGTTAACACTGAAAGGGCCTGATTTCTTGCCACTGGGGTTCCATCCTGGGTCATGATGAGACCTGTTTTTAGGCCTTAAGGATAGCACGGAAGCACCTGACAGACTGAGGGTCACCTCCCCAAGAGACCTGAGGCCCAAGGTCACAGGATTAGTTGCAGAGTGCTTCTCATTCTGGTCCCTTATTTCTGGGCAGTGACAGCAGTTGCCCCACTGGCTGCTCTGAGAGCTTTGGGGCTGACTTTTTTCTCTGGTGGCTCTGTGAGCAGAAGAGGCACTGGCTCTGCAAGTGCCATTTAAGTCAATATGGAGGGCCACTGATAGGCAAGGCTGGGCCAAATTCCCTGGGGAACTTCTTGTCTTGCTGTAATGAAGGACACTGCCCTGGGGTTTAGAGGTGAGCCTGTTGCCGAGCAGTTCATTACAGTTAGAAAATTGAAAATTTATCCCTGTCTGCTTCTCGAGACCTTCTCCATGACCAGTGGGGCAAAGACACAAGGAGGCTAAACAGACAGGAAACCCAAGGCTTCTCGAAAGAAGCAGGGAGCAGAGCTTTCAGACTTGTCAACAGTGGTTACACTTGGACAGTAATTTGGTTCACTAAATCAGACACCGTGTTTGGTGCAGTCACAGACTGTGTAGCCTGCTCTGAAAATGGTTTCAAGTGGCTGAGCGTCTCTCTATACACCTACCATCTTTGCTCTGCAC